CCATGACCTTTGTACAACTATCCGTAGCTGGCTCTTTCCTCTACCTTCTCGCAGTGGCAGTGCTTTTCTTATTAACTTGAACCAGATTGCATTTGTGTGACGAACAGCAGAATGCGGTTTTAACTAATATCAAACAATGCAACAAGAAATCAACCGAACCATTTACATTTTTTTTATTAACTGTCCATATACATAAGTGTCTATGGATACTTTTCTGTGATTTCACAGATGACTTTATTCACCTATGTTTGCTATTCAAGCTGTTGAGGAGAGAACTGACCAGAAGACATAATTAATAGTCAGTGGGATAACTGTTAAATTAAACACTTTAGCATATGGTCTAAATCCAATGACATAATTTAGAAGCCATTTAAAGAGCAGTAATCTCTTCAAAGGGAAATGTAGCCTCTAGTTTTTCAAAAGCCTGTTCTGCTTCACATACAGCAGTTGGTGGCACTAAGGTCAGCATTGCTTTACTCTCTTGGCTTCTGCTAAGATGATACATTATAAATCTTGCTTTGTATAAAATATAATTCTGGGGAACAATTTATGATATGTTCTGTGCTTTGAGAAATCTTCCCCTGTCATCTTTCATGTTAGCTTCCACTCTTGGTTTTCTAATCAAATTCCTATTTGTAAATGTTTTTACACAATGGAATTACTTAGCCCTGGTCTACACTAGGATCTTATTTCAAATAACCTCCTCAAGGTTGAATGTATAAGCAGTGTGTCTCCACTACCAATCCCATCATTTTGAAATAATGGGCCATGGAATTTGAACTTTGTACTCCTGCTTTTCACAGGAGTAACGCTAATTCCGAAATAGTAATTTTGAAATAGCATGGATGCTTCAGTGCCACTATTTCAAACTTACTGACCTCCAGAAGGCCTACCGCAGCTCCTCAAAGTGTTTCCTGGGGCTCTAAGTCCACATTAATAGAGCCTGGTTCGGACTAATTTCTAGACTTCCCTGTAGTGAGAACATGCTAGTTCGAATTTGTTAAATAGGGAATTCTTAAGTCAAATTTAGTAATTTTGAAACAGTTTCCTAGTGTAGGCATGGCCTTAGTTTTGTGATATTGAACATTCCTTAGATGTTCAGCTCTCCATGTCTAAATTCCGTTTGCACTACTAATTGTTGATTATAGACACCTTTTACAGCTAAACCTAAATTATCCAATCAGGAGTGTGTGGTGGGGTGTGGGGAGAGGGGTTGTTCTTTGTGCTAAGGAGAGCAGTGTGTGTAGTGGATTTTTCAGTTTCCTGTTGGTTCCAGTAAATTA